TCTCTCTCTCTCTCTCTCTCTCTCTCTCTCTCTCTCTCTCTCTCTCTCTCTCTCTCTCTCTCTCTCTCTCTCCCATCAATCCATCCATCATCTATCTATCATCATTCAAATTTCAGCCTTCTTACCATTAAAAATAATCTGGAATTGGGGTAACTTTGCAAAAACCAAAACAAGAGAAATGCTAATGCCATTTTTTTATTTCTTGGTAGATTGGACATAATAGTTAATAATAAATACTGCCAGATGAAGGCCCAAATGAAATGCAAAAAAGTAGCTTTGCTTCATAAAGATACAGAGTGTGTCCTGTGACCCTCTAATTCTTAGATGAGTTTAGCGCTACCCATTCTCATAATATGCCCTCATAGCTATTCCACTTGAACTGGGTAGAAGAAAGTTACTGACATGCCAAACACAAGCAATCCATTTACAACTCAGGTAGTACAGTACATATTTTTATTCATATTAAACCAATGCTTTTCAAACCAAAATTATAGTGGTTTGGGATGGTTAAGTTTACTAATGCAACTTTAGAAGAAGGAGCCATGCCTATGACTTTTGAAGAGGACTTTATGAAGACTAAAGTGGTTCTAACTATTACTTACCTTGTTTTTTAAAGAGACTGCTGTGTACAATTTCTGTCATTGATTGAACTTTTTGCTTCTGCAACTTTGCTGGAATGCAGGTGAAAAATTCATGTAAAAGCTGGCTGTAGATAAAAAAAGATAAGATCGATCAGAATGTTTGGTCAGGAAATTGCTAAGACTTAAGGCAGTCATGCAAACAGTATGAGGAGTGGTTTATTTTGAGAAAAGGTAATATTAAACAAATAAGAAACTATACAGAGTCCCTTGTGTATATAGCAGGTAATTGGGAAAAAACCTTAATGAATAAAAAATTAAAGTTTCTGTATCTAGTTGAATGAATTTCATGGTTTCTGGGCAAGTTTCTTATGCAAATGGCATTGCTTACATTATGCTTGAAATTATGTAAGACTGAACCAGCAGAATCGAGATTTATGCCAGGAAGGTACTGCAATCTGCAATGTGACTATCTGAAGATACATGCCAAAATTGCAGGCATTTAAATGCCCTGATGCTTTGGAATTCCACATGTCATCTCACCTGAGCAATCTGACATCAAAGACTGTTTCTACATCTTGGAGAACAGATGCAATATACTTCAAGGCAGCCATCTGAAAGAAAAATAGTTCATCATATTTTCTGTTTTTCGAAAGTCCAAATAAGCTTACATAATTTAGAACTAGGTTTCACTAAAGACCAAAACAGGACCTATATCCAGAAGCATCAACTTGTCTTTAGTAAACTGGACTCTGGAGAGTATGGAGAAACCAACAACAGCTTCCAGATTACTTTTCCTGGGAAATACCTTACCATTAACTTTTCATTTACCAATATTACAGCCTATATTTTTTCTCTAGATCTCCTTCTATTGACTCATACCTATAACAATTATATATATAGACTTTATCAAACTCCATTGTCAAGTCATTTAGAGACATTGTTTTAATGGTGAAATTATCTTCCACATGTCTTTAACAATCTAGATTTTCTAGAACTGGCTCCTACTGCATGTAATAGGCATACATTTTCTTTCTTTGAGGAGGTTCTGATTTTAAGTAGCTTTTTTTTCCTTCTAAAAAAAGTTACTGGGCTCATGGGATCAGCAGAGATCCTGGGAATCAGCAGAGATCCCCCACTATCCCAAATTTTAGCTTCTGAAGGCCAAATTAGATCACTGTAATGTGAAGGAGCTTTAGGAAGCCATTTTCACAACAGAACTGCAGGATTAAGCAAAATATGTATGTAACCTTTTTTCTCACCTGTGCAGCAGCTATATGTTTACCACTAAAAAGCAATAACATATTGGGGTCTGACTTAAGGAACTTTTCTAAGAAGTATATCTCACTTTCTCTAGGTCACTTTGACCATTAAATGAATTCCACAGAATAGTGAGAAAGTCTCCTGACTTTCAGAGGCTTTTTAAACTATACAGTATGTTAAATTTTGATCATAATAAACAGCATTTGTCTGCCTACTTATTTCCTCCCAAATCCACTTCCCAAAACATAATTATTGCATTATAAACGTTGGATGGATACGTTTCATCCTTTCTGGGATATGAAGAAAGGTATGTGTTATATAAGCCTAATGTGTATTGCCTTCTACTTCAACCTTCAAGAAATGCCTACAGAACTCCAGGTTGAATTTTGGCCTTTGGTTGGGTTTAAATTCCCAGAGCTAGGAAATTAACAGAGTGAACTAGCCAGTCATGGTCTGATGAAGGTTTTTAAAAAACGAACTAAACTAAAAACTAACTAAAAGCAAAGAAAACAAAAAAACAGTGTTACTTGTGCTATGGTGCTATATATACATACACACAAACACACGCACACACACATATACATACATACATAAATACAGTGTTTCCCTGAAAATAAGACAGGGTCTTATTTTCTTTTGCCCCATGAAATATGGCCTTGAGCTTATTATAGGAGGGATGGCTTATTGTTTTGGAGTTGCTGGGCAGCTGCTCCCTTGTGAACTGGCTCCCAAAGAGCCGGGCACAGCCTCAGGGGCGAAGCAGCCATGAGGTGACCACGCTCACGAGCAACTGCCCGGCAAACCCTCTGTCCAGCCGGGCAGAGCACCATTCACTGACCTTGGGGGTATCCCTAAGGCGCCAAGGAATGTGGCACTCTGCCCGCTCCCGCAGCTTGGCACTGCCCAGCTGGAGAGGAGGGTTGC